TAAAATTCTTCTTTCTACATGAAGCCTAGATATCAGTCATCATCCAGTTATATTGTTTTTCACACAAACGTTCAGAAATGCTACATGTACATCATCCTTTTTAGCAGGGTCCCACTTGTATCTATTCTGAAAAAAAATATGTGTCACATATTCGTATATCAATTTATTCATATAAGAAAATGCATATATATAAAGAAAAACATATCCATATAAATTATTCAATAAAACTACAAACTCAAAAAGCCTGCCAGTACACTTCCTTATATTCATGAGAAATTGAGCCCCACCCTGTGTATGCCTCATGTGTATTCAACTTAAGAATGTTTGAAATATCCTTTCGAACTTCTTTTTGGTAATGTCTTCCCATTGTAGTTCCCAATGCTCAGCTTCTGGGAAGGATCCTTTGGCATTTTTTGACATTTTGCAATACCTTGCCCTCTTTTGGATTGAAGAGGTGATGGTGCACTAGATTCAGTGTCATTGCCATTAGCATATGTCTCCCTCTAGGTCTCCCTGACAATGGTACTCGAAAACCCAATTGCCTATGATTGATTTTTCCTTATAAGCTTTTGGGAGCAACATCAATAGTCTTGTCACCCCTACAAGCTCCAGGTATGCAATTCACTACAAAAAAAAAAAAAAAGGGGGGGAAAGATATAATACTATATTAGTATATGATTGAAAGAAAATGCATTAGATTTAGACTTAAAAAAAAAACTAAATCAGATATGAAATTTAAAGAAAAAATTTATATATATTAATAAATATCACATTAAGTTGTCTTTCATGTCAAGCTACTTATGTATCACCCAGTGTGTTATAAAATACAACATATATACACTACTAAATAATAACAAAGTCTATATATGTTATTAATTAATTAATCACTATTATCACTTTTAGAAATGTATTCAATATTTTCTTTCTCAGGTATATAATCATCTTCAAATTTTTCCTCCTCCTTATCATCTTCCTAGAATTCTTTATCAACATGCAAATCCTCAAATTATACATTAATGGTAGTTATTGTCCCATCAGTATGCTGAATAGGTTCATATAATATGAGATCTAGCTGGGTCAATTTGAAAGCTAGAGGGTCATCATCTTGAAAAAATGGGTTATGGATCATCATGTTGTTTCTCTTGCTCATCTGGCATCTCAATAATACTTCTTGCCCTACATTTCAATGCAATAATCCATCCTTTCCTCACAAAATTATGTGATAGATATTGAGTGTAATACACCTGTTAGCTTGACTTACCAAGATGAAAGGCTCATAAGTTCTTAGTTTTTTGTTTGGATTAATATCAATAAGACAGTATTTTCAGTCAACCACAATTCCTTGTGTAGGAGAAATTTTATACCAATCATGTTTAAATAGAACAACCATTTGTCAATGTCTAGAGCCAACATATTGAAACTCAATCACTTTCTGCAACAACCCATAAAAATCCAAATTTGATTCTATTATTGTGGTTCCCGTGACACTCACACCACTATTCATTATTTTCTTATTTTTTCCACATGAGGTAGTGTGAAATCGAAAATCGTTTAACCAAAAGCTTTTATAACATAAAACTATCCAAGAAGGGCCACAAACCAAACCAATCAAATGCTCATTGATGCCCTCAAACTCATCACATAAAACCAATATCACATAAGTTTTTATTTATTAGTTATAAGTATATAATAATTAATTAACTATAATTAAAGTATAGGATTAAATTTATCGATTTTTCAAACCATGACATAAGATAATTGGAAAGTTTCATCTATAGTTGTTTGGGAGTCATATTCTGACATTCTTCCTCTTCAAAAACCCTAATTAAGCATCCGTTATAATTATGTGTAAATTAACACGGTTCATTTAATTTTTCAAATGTAGTTAAGGATAAGGATTAGGGAAATGCACTCACTCAATCCATCCCTTTAGTTCCTTACAATTCATTAGAACATAATACATTGCAGCATTACGCTCCTCCGTTGTCAACACTTGTTGTTGTTGTAGAGAACTAATTGGTTTTCCAAAATTATTGAATATTGAAAGACCAAGATTAATAGAAGAGGCTAAGCTAACAAGATTCCTAGGGATGTGATCACCTCTTGTCTTAACTTCTCCTTCAAAATTAAGCAACAAAAAGCAACATAAAGTATGAAATCTTGCTCATTATGTAATTCTCATATATTGGTCCTTTTAAACGAGTTTTATTTTTCACCAAACGCTTCAATCCATGCATGTCTAATTCATGAAAAGTAAATTTAAATAATTAATAAATTTAAAAGAAAGTTATGTTTTATACTATAGATATAAAAAATTAAAAAATTAGGTATTCTAATAATACCTCTCAAATGAATACTTCCAATGGGATTGCACTGGTTCCCCCACCTTGGCTTCATATGGAAGGAGGATTGCTGGATGCTTCATCAAATGAAAAAAAGGAAAGAAGATTCTTTCAAGTTGGCATATTGTTTCTACAATCTTCACATGCCAAATCTCCATATCTGTAGCACGAATGGCTGGAGAATATAAGGCTCTGAAAAACTCACTATTCTCTATAAGTGCTTCCCAAACTTGTTTTGGAAGAAAATCATGAAATGCTATTGGAATGAGACTTTGCATGAAAATGTGATAATCATGACTTTTTATCTCGCTAACTTTTGCCTCTTGCATACTTTCACAAGGAGAGATGTTGGATGCAAAACCATAAGGATATCTAATATTCTTTAGCCATTGGCACACAAATTCTCTCTACTCCCTATTTAAGACATAAGTGGCCTTCAGTTTTTTATCAGCATTAGAGCTTCTTTTTGGTATACAAAGATTTGGCCTATTGCAATATAATTCTATATCCATCCTTGCCTTCAAGTTGTCCTTTGTCAATGGGTCATCCATGATGGTGTGAAATATATTATCAAAAAAAGTTATTCTTAGAGTGCATTACATTTAGGTTATGATGGATTAAGTTTGTGCTCCAATAAGGAAGCTCTCAAAAGATTCTTCTTTTAACCCAGTTATCCCAATCACCAACTCCTTCAATCACCTACCTTTGGGATGAATTTCCAAATTCTATATCGAGTAATTGTTGAATTTGTCAAAACATATCATTGTTTAACAATCTCTCTGGTAGGGTAAGATTCTCTACATGGTCTCTTTTAAAATTATTCCTATTTTTCCTAAATGGATGATGTGGGGTAAAAACTATCAGTGATAATCAAAAAATGATATTTTTTAATCGTGTTGGAGGTGGAATGCCTTAGAATTTTCTTAACAATATAGACATGACAATTTACCATGTGTGTTGCATCTGGATAACATGCCATATCCAAAGAAGTCACTAATTGTCCACATAAGTGCTGCTCTCATAATGAAATGTTGATGCCTAAAGCTATCATATATCTTAACCCCATTATACCAAAGTTTGTTTAATTCATCAATCAATGGGCATAACACACATCGATGTCTTTTCCTAGACTATGAAGGCCTTATATTATTATAGAAAGAAAGATGGACTTCGATTTCATACACATTGATGGAGGTAGGTTGTAAACAGTCAAAAATACAAGTCAATATGAGTACAGGGCTACTGTATGTCCAAATGGAGTGAACCCATTTATGCACAATCCAAGCCTTACATTCCTTGGATTTGACCCAAAGTCAAGGTAAGTGTGATTAAAGTGTTTCCATGCCTCAACACCAATAAGATGCACAATCTTTTTAGATTCACCACCACAAGTAAGGTGTCATGTCATGTGCTCAACAGTTTTTCTACACATATACAACCTTTTCAATTTAAGTGTAATTAGGGGCACCACATGACTTCCTTGGTATATGTTGATTTTGTTACACATGTCCCTGCTTATAACAAGAGTCACCACATGTTGGAGATGTGATGTAGTTTTTGTTTTCATATTCACTATAATACAAGAAGTAGTTATGTACACAAATATCATACTTCTTATAACCTAAAATAAAGCACCTTATCATCTTTTTAGTGTTGTAAAAATCTTTTGAAATCCTATCCCAATCCTTTGGCTTAATCCATCTCCTACTGCACTTTAACATATAATCCTAATTAGCCACAATCATATTATAAAGTATCTTTGCATTCATAAAATGAGTATTGTATCACCCTTATCACATCTATCATAAAGTGGTGTGTTAGCAGCTTGCAAAAGATAAAAAAATTCATTTGCATCTCCCATTGCCTCCTCAAAGATTGCCTCCTCACTGACTTGTTCATTCATATTATATTCTATACCATGTGAACTCATTGCATCCATAACCATCTCTCTAATTGGATCATTACCTAGTTTTTCCATCACAAAGGGAGCTACACTTGAGGATTTCCCCCATTGATGACATTGTCACTTTCGCACTGATTGCTCTTTGTGTGCAAGCTAGACTAGATACCTATTCATAAAACCTTTTTCTATCAAATGCCATGGTAAAGTAACACAATGATGCCATTCTTGGTTCATGCATTTCTTGCATGGACACCTAATGCAATTTCTATTACAAAATTTTGAATTGGACTAGGAAAATGCATAATCCAGAAAAGACTTCACACCAATTTTGAATTCATTCTTGGTTAGGATTTTCCTAACCAATTTCCCAATAAAAACTTTTTTTGATAAAGTAACACTCTCATCAGTTAGCCAAGATTGAAAGTTCTTTGTCGCCTTCCTCTTATATTTTAATTTGAACTCAATCCTACCCAGTGGCTTTCTTTTATTGTGCTGATGCTTATGGGCTCCATTTTGCTCGACCCCCTTGATATACTGCTTCTACATCATAAGGTTCCACGTTGTGCCGCCTTACAAAGACTTTGCTTTCTAGTTCTAGATTGTAAAGAAGGACTAGGAACATTTCAAGAAGAAGGGATTCAAGAGCACGTTTGAAGGACAAAATTTGAATTTGTATTCAACTTGAAACAGTATCACCCTGGAAGGATAAATTTTAAAAACACTTCTCCAATGTACTTAGAAGCTTTTTCCTTCACATATATTTTCTTTCGTTATTGTGCTTATAAGCCATAGAAAACAAATGATACATTATTACCTACACAATTAATTATATAAGAGCAGTTTTTATTGCAAACCTATGTCAATAGTAAATGCTAAATATACACAATATGTTTAGAGATACCACTCTTTACTGGTCAGAAATCAGGTCTCAGCTTCTGCATTTGAGTCCTTTCTGCTGACTTAACAAGTTCCCAGAGCTCCTTAGCATGGTTAGTCATCCCGCTAGCTGAATAAGCTTTAATCATGGTTTTATACATTATCTTATCAGGCTTGCATCCTTTTTCCTCCATCATTTTGAGCACACCTCTCATCTCTTCAAAGCAGCCCAGCCTGCCATAGGCATCTACCAGACAGTTAAAAAACACATTATCTAACGTAACATCCAAGTTCTCAATAAACCGCAAAACACCTGCAATTTTTTCAGCTTTTCCAGCTTGACCATACGCCCTTACAAGAGAGCAAAGGGTTACACAGCTTGGCTTGATTCTCTCCGATCGCATCAACTGAAACAAATACTCCATCTGTTTAAAATCCCCAGCCCTTCCAAATGCATCTATCACCACATTGTAGGTCACAATGGTCCATGAGTAATGGTATTTCTGCATATAGTCCATCACAGCACTCATTTTCTCATAATTCCTGGTTTTCCCATACGAATCTAATAGAATGTTGAATGTCTTAATGTTGGGTTGGATGCCAGCTCTCTGAAACTTCTCATAGCACTTCTCCATTGTTTCAATTTGGCCACTGCTGCCAAAGGCTCTGAGTGTTGAGTTCATGGTCCAAACATCAGGCTCACTATCTTTCTCCTGGAGCATCTGAACTAGTATTCTCTCCATCTCTGCAAACCTAGCAGAAGATAGAATGAAGATTTACTTCTTTATGAATGAAAACATGACAGCATACTCAATCTAGTTGCAAACTTCTAAAATATTTCCAACTAATCAGAAAAATTGCAACACTTGGGAAGGATCAACAAGATGATACCTTTGTGCTTTCCCATAGGCATCAATGAGAGTGTTGTATGTGATTGTGCTAGGCCTAATTCCTTGCCTTTCCATGTCAGAAAGCAAGACCTTCACTTTGTCAAAGGAAAAGACCTGCAGGCACGATTTTATGAAGATTGAATATGTCTGCACATCAGGATGGCAATAGGGAGTGTTTTTCATCTGTGCCAGAATAGAAAAAGCTTTGTCAAAGCGACCACTCCTACTGTAGGCAGACAAGAGGGCAGTGTAGGCTTCAGTGTTCACAACACACCCTTCATCAATCATAGCCAGAAAGAGCTCATGGGCTTTTTCAGGCTGTTTACATTTTCCAAGCATGACCATAAGTTTAATGTAAACAGCAGAATTAGGCTTGTACCAAAGCTGCTCGTGTAGTATCTGAAAAACCTGAATATATAAAAACACCAAAACCACGCTATCAAGCCCTCAAATCATTCATAGAACAATGTATAATTTTGATTGTTTCCATAAAAATAAAGAATCCTGAGAACAATATCTAACATTCATAAGAATATCATCCAATTTACTTAAAAACAGTTCTGCAACCATTTAATTCCATCTCTTGTTTTCAAAGCCACAAAATCTTAGACCCCTTAGCCATTTCATACCAATCCTGTTAGGCTAACTCGCTTATTTAGTTAATTTTTCCGCTATCAATTTTAGCAGGAGCAATCAAATTCGAAGCAGACAGCTTGAAAAGATTATATGACTTCCTCTTTATTATAATCATAACAATAAAACCAAACATCTACCTTGCAAAAATAATCTTCAATCTTTCCAATTTCCCATCTATCAGAGTAAAGGGAACTTCAAAAGGACGAAGACAAACCTTTAGAGCAGACTCCCAACGCAATGCAGTGATCCTCTCGTGAAGGGCTTCAAGCACAGTTCTCGGAAGCAGCCTCTTGGAATTAGTGGGACCTCTCTTCTTCTCGATGACACCCTTTGTTGCCTCTCTCCGCAGAATCAAGGAGATGGCCTTCCTGGAAGCTATCTTCCGGTTCACTTCCTGCCTTCTCTCTCTGGCTTCTCTCTCCTCGAGCTCCTCTACGTTTATCAGTCCCCCTCTTCCGCTTCTTCTCTCCGGTACTGTTAAGCTACTGCTTCTCTCTTCTGAATTACCGCTTGCAGTAGATAGCTCCTTTCTGGCTGTGGGCACGGGGGAATTCCTTATGGATACGAGGTTCTTCGGTGCCGGAAGCCGGCTGACGGAAGGTGCAAATGGATAGGCGTGGCTCGGAAGCGAGGACATGGATTCTTTGTTCTTTCGGTTTTGAAAAACGGTGACGGACTGAGCGACTGACTCAGAGGACCTGACATTCGAAACTAAAAAGGGCCCAAAGACCAATCCACGTATATGATTGGGCTGAGTCCATTACCAAAATACAGGTCTTGTATTTTGCCTAAACCACTCCGGTTTGCACGTTTGTTCCTTCCAATTCCAAATTCCAACTCTTTATATATATATATATATATATATCAGCAAATAAAATTTTATATTACTAGAGAGTGCAGGGGCTGCTCCATCTTCCTGTAAGGAAACATCAAGGAATTCAACCCAAAATGTTTAAATAAAACTGTCCTAAGTAATATTATTACAAAGTCAATGAGAATGCCTCATGTGGACTTAAAATAGCATGTTAGGTTTAAAGGGAGTGAAGGGGAGGTGAGAGGAGACAATTCTTTTAGTTGATTACCAAAAGAGATTACAGGAGAGAAAGTCTTTTATTTTATTTTTACTTTTAATCTTTTCACATGAGAATTCCTCTATTTTTTTCAAAATGATAATACCCTTAAAGTTTTCTAATAACAAATCCTTCACCCCAAATGCTAAATGCTTAGGGGCTCTAGGTTGGAAATAAAAAAAAAAAAAAAGGGTTGATGCTCTTACAACTAGAGTGGTCAAGTGATAATTTTCTTTAAAATACGAAATCTAAGGTTTTGTGGCAGGGTCTGTCATGAGGAGCTACTTCTTTGTCATCAAAAAGGCTTCCGCCACTTGGTTGTCAAAATGAATTCCGTGGTTGCCGTTCAACTTATCTAGGAAAGCGCTGTCAGGATTGCTCCAGTTATCTCTTTGTTGGTAGATATCCAGCAACTGCTGGAAAGTTTTCAATCATGTGCTAGGTGGTACACACACTGAGGGAAATGCTACAGCGAACTTTCTACCATCACTAGGCCACCAGATGCCTCAAGGAACAGCTCACTTTGCTGTGCCTCCAAGGGGGTTCGATACTATCTTGATGGATGATGCTGCAGGAGTTACCTTCCTACTTAATCTTATTTTTATGGTCAAACTTCTTATTTGTACCATATATATATATATATATATATTTTGTAGTTAACACTTTTGCAAATTTCTAATTTTAGTCAATACTTTTTATGATTTAAAATTAGTAAAAAATCTAAAAATTAATAGTTAAACTCCTTATTTGCATTATGACTTTGTTGCTAATTTAGGGGTTTTTTGTGTGTTTCAAATTATAAAGGATGTTAACTAGAAGTGAAAATTATGGAGGGTGTTGACTATGGAAAAAATAATTTGTAAAGTGCAATTGGAAAGTTTGGCCTATTTTTATTTAGTTTCTCAATTCATATCTACAAAACAAAAAAGAAATCTAAGGGCTATTTAATTGGTTGTCAAGTCACTTTTCCCTAAACTTCTTTAAACTTTTCTCATTACAATTATTATCCCAAAAAATTTCTTTGACATATGATAGGTGACATGGCATGCCACTTGCTTTATTCAAAACAAAAAAGGTTTTTTTTTTATGACTCTCTTCTTTCCAAGCATGGAATTCAATTGTGAGTTGATGGAAGAACATCGTACATTGTGCTTCAATAATCAAACGATTGGTAGAAATGAGGGATGAATTTCCTATGCTAAATGGTTTAAATGACAAAATGTCATATATATCTACAAGGACTCCTCCAACACACATGTAATAAAAAAACGCTAAGACTATAAGAAAAAGTAAATGATCACTAAGCTACCAAAAATCTAAATGAATTTTAAATGTGTAGATTGAATTAAAATAAAACTTTCAAATGTAAATCTAAATAAAGAAAGACAAATTAAACTAAAATAAATGACACTGGAAACATGGATAGTCTATTGGCAATATAAAATATAAATAAATAGAAACAAAACAAAATATGAAATTGAATATTGATATCAATTGATTAATTAAAAAGTATTTAGGAAAATAATAAAGGAAAGGAAGTACTCTGAGTACAAAGAACTATCATTGGAGGTAGTGAATCTTACTACTACAAACCAACAAAAGGGGGACTGGATTGTTTCCTCAGAGAACTATAACTAATTTCTGAGATTTATAAAAGAAAAGACATTAAACTAAAGTTAAAGGCTACTGTAGGTTGAAGTGTAAGGCTAAAACTAAACTAAGGGGCTTGAAATTAAGATGAACTTAAGCATTAAAAGAAATAGTGTTGAGCTTGTTGTGTGAGGGGTAGGTTTATCTTGCTTGATTTCATCTCCATCTATTTATAATAGTAAACAACCTTTGGCAGCATGCTGGAGATCTACAGTAGCATGAAATCTGCAACAAATTCACTTAACCATTAGTGATGCTGATCATGTTCCTAAGAATTCGCAACAATCAAATGATTTTATTAATGATATGGAAATAATTACTGAACTTTATTTAAGAAAAAT